AAGTTACTTTTTTCAGCGCTGATGTTAACTTTGAATGGTTGCTAAACAGGACATTAACCAAGGTCTACCTGTATTCAGAGTTTGTGCGATGCAATGAACTATAAATTAATCAATTGTGCTAATGAATACAACTTGCTACTCAGGGAAATAATTTAGGTTATCCATAAACAAGTTTAGCATGTTGTATAAACACAACCTCTAACTTTTTAAATTGATCTGGTCAACTGTGTTTTGTCAAAGCACCCATCAAGCATGTAATTAAAGCACGCCTCTTCATTCCAGCGCCCTGCAGCTTTGCTGATTCCGGAATCTCCAAAATTCTCCATTTACCTGATTTTGGAGCCAGTGATGTCCAGTTCATGATGCATGAGGTGCCTCTCTCCACCTTGGTTGAGCTTCCGGTTCAAAGAAACTGGAGCCAAAAAGGGATTCTTGGCATCAAATGGTCTAAAAGAAACCCCGAGACACATATCTGGTTAATGACTTGAATGGTTTAAAGGTAAAGGTTCCCATCGCACATATGTGCTAGTCGTTCTCAACTCTAGGGGGCGGTTCTCATCTCCGCTTCAAAGCCGAAGGACTAGCGCTGTCTGAAGACATCTCCATGGTCATGTGGCTGACATGAATAAATGCCGAAGGCGCACAGAACACTGTTACCTTCCCACCAAAGTAGCCCCTATTTTTCTACTTGCATTTTTATGTGCTTTCGAACTGCTAGGTTGGCAGAAGCTGGGACAAGTAACGGGAGCTCACTCCGTTATGCAGCACTAGGGATTCGAACCGCCAAAGTGCTGACCTTTCTAATCAACAATGTGAAAACAATGTGAGTTGTATTGTGTTGGGTCAGTGTGTGTGTGTGCAGGGAGGTCAACCAATTTCATTGTACATATGTTGTGCACTGAAAAATAAAGTATTGTATTATTAGTATTATTATTTCCTTTTATTCATGAAACATGAAACTCAGTCAACTGAACATTTAAAGATGTGTCACAAATACCATTGACTGGTGCTAATGGTTGATACCAGTTGCTGCCAGCATCTTAGGTATCAACCAAGTATCTTCTTAAAATATATGATGTTCCTAGTAGCGCAGTTTTTTTGCAGTTCCACTGGTGTTATTGCAGGAAGCTGCAGTTGTTGTTGTTGTTATTGTTGTTGTTGTTATGACAAGCTCAGTGTCTTAGTCACTGTGTAGCACTGCCATTGGATCTTCTAAACACATACTCAAGGAGGTCCTTAATAAGATAGGGCCACAAAAGCAATTATTTGCAATGGCCCTCGGCACACGCATGCACGCATATACGCGCACACACACAAAGTAGCCCAGGCACCCTCTCTAGTGGATTTCCAAAAAGCAATTCATGCAATACCTTTTGATATCATTTTTATTTTTCTATTTTGTAAATCACCAGGAGTTGTCTGAGCAAATATACCAAGTTTGCTTCCCCATAGCTCTATATGGCATCAACCGTTCTCCAGAATTTTAAAAAGGAGATCCTGGTGTCTTCATGAACATTCATTTGCTTTTGACTGAATGATTATTATTTTTTTGCTGAAGCTTCTTACCCGCCCATTATATTCACTGCTCTGGTGGCACATCTGATGAGGAAGTCACTAATTAAAGTAGGAACAACGTGGGACTTCCACAGGCTGGCCACAGTTAGCTATCTCTCCCAGGTAGCTCTTCCCCAGGGAGACTCTCCCCCTCATTCTTTCTTAAAGGAAGTTTCAGAAAAACTGTGAACATCTCGTGGTTCTACTTTTTCACCTACCCTTATTATAGGAAGCAGTTCCCAAAGACTGCATGGCTGCCACTCACAGCAGCAGTGCCACAACTCAGCTCACTAAGACTGCGTGCAATTTCTTAATATCTCTTTGATGTACAATGGTTCACACAAATGGACATTCTTATTCACAACTGGACGAGGACTTCCTGCTGCTAAGGACTACCGTAGAGCCCTTTTCCTAGGGATTTCTTTAAATGGGATCTTAAAGAGAAGGGATTGCTTCTTGAATTTTACCGTTTCTATTGTGTGTGTGTGCCCTGCTGATTTCATATATCACTCTTTGTCCCTTTAGGAGTAATAATTTTTAAAAATGAATAATAATTAAGTAGAAAGAGAAGGAGCAGCTGTAGAGTAATAACAGTAATAAAAGGAGGAGGAGGAAGAAATAGTAATAGTTTTAAATGGAAGCAGGAAGAGGAGAAGAAAGTACAACAGAAGAAAAACTATTACTGTGATAACAAAGATATATTTTCAGATTTCCTTGCAAGGGGAATTCAAACATTTCAAAACAGCCAAGATTTATTGTCGCCGTTTGGGAAATGCTTACAGCCAATTCAGCCCCTACCTGTGGCGTGGAATGTTGTCTGGTTTCCCAAAAGGGAGGGGCTGCATTCCAGAGGGCAAAGAGGCAGCCAACCTTACATAGTTTGGCCAAAAGAAAGAATTAGGAAGGCTCCTTCCTAGCAATTCTCAGAGTATATCTATGGTGATGCAAACAGTTGCATTAGTTTGGCAAGACTTCTGTCTAGAGGTGAGTCACAATAAAGGAAACTGCTCGGAAGGAATTCCCCATGTCTTTCCTGGTTTGGGGAGGCCTGCCACTAGTTAATGAGTGGAGGGTTTGACTCTTGTTTGTCTCTCTCAGCCTCCCTTTTGATAACTTACGGTTTCTGGTTCTCATAGCTCTTGAGGCGTCCCATTTCACCCTTATAAACTTTGCTTGGGGAGATGTCTTTGTGAACCACCAGCTCGTACTGCCGAATACTAGAGAAAAAAGAAGGAAAATAAAGCTTGTGTACAAAGTCAGCTTGGTCAAGTGGTTGAGGCACCAGGCTAGAAGACCATGAGGTCAAGGCCCACCTTAGCCATGAAAGCCAGCTGAGGGAAGTTGGGCCAGCCGCCCTCTCTCAGTCCAACCCACCTCACAGGGTTGTCATTGTGAGGGAAAATAGGAGGAGAAGGGTACGTTGGGTATGTTCTCTGTCTTGCGTTATTTGTAAAAATAATAAAGGCAGGGTGCAAATAAATAAATGGATGCTGGGCTTTCAATTTCAGGGGCCAGAGTGGGATGGAGCTCGTACTGCCACATGGCGAACCTGGAGGCAGACATTGAGGGACTCCCCCATGATCACAGCAGAGCCACAGAGCTGTGAGTTCCTCTCTCTTCCTTCTACATGCCATATTTTTCTAAGAGCAGTTTATCATAGGTTACATGAAGCGAATGGATAGGGCAGTGATGGCTAACCTTGTCACCGCATGCCGAAAGCGCGCATGCGCGTGCCCACACCCATAATGTAATGTGCACATGACACGCACTCCACGCACCCTGCCCCTCCTGTGCATGGGCGTGCAAACCCACGATCCCCATGCCCCCCTTCACGCTGCCTCTGACCCCCAACACATGTACACGCATCTCCCGCATGTGTCCTGCCCTCCTCCTCCCCCCACGTATATGCGGCAAGACCCCAAAATTGGCTGGCCGGTGGGAGGCACGTGCACATGCACAATGGAGCTGAGCTGGGGCGACGGCTCGCATGCCCACCGAAAGGGGATCACGGGGATAGGGCCTCCACCTTCCTCTACTGCCACCATGCAAAATTGCCTTGCTAGAGCTCAGAACTGCTTCCTTGAAGGCTATTTTGGAAACGAAGCTGAAAACCACCAGTGCCCCAACCTACTCTTCTCAGAAGGTGTATCAGGGGTTCACAAGCCCTCTTCTCTTACGAATTGCTATTCCACACTCACCTGGATTCATCGCCTGTGGCTTCCACGCCAAAATGTTCACACACAGCTGGCCAAAACTGTTCACGCCAAGTGATGAAATCTTCTTCCAGGCTGTTGGAAACAGTGAAGGGAGAGATGGAAAAAACCAAAGGCATCTTACTCAATATCCAATATACAGATTGAAGATTCTCAACCTCAGCAACTTTAAGATGTGTGGATTCCAACTTCTCATGTGGAATTTTAAGGTATTTTTAAAGTAGCTAAAGCTGAGCAACTCTGATCCAGATCCTTCACCCTTATCATCCCTTCTGACTTTATATACGTCCAAGCCATAAGGAAGAGCTGATTCAATCAGTTGCAGAAACGGCAACATCAGTTTTCTTGGCATTTATACGGGACATCGATCATATTGGCATTGATATGGGAGGCCCAATTCAAAAGACAGTCCTGGGGCTTTAAAAACTGCACAGTCAGGAGGGAGTTCAACTAGTGCAACTCTTGCTTAAATGCACTGCTTCACTTGTTCAGCTGCTTCTGGCAGTTTACACAACAAATAAGCTTTATACAGAAGGGTTTGGAAGAGGTACTAATTTTTCAAGCTAGTAGGCAGTACCTGACCTTTTGAGCAGCGAAATTAAAACTGCATTCCAAAAAAGTAAGTCCAGCTAAAATTATATCTGATTCCATTTTAATGCAATTGCAAATGTATTTTGTGAAGTGAAGTGAAGTGAAGTGAATTAAGGGCCTGGTTCCTTCAGGGTTTGCCTATCTCCCATAGTATCCACCAGCCAATTCTTGGTTCATTTAATTAAACAATGCCATTTATTGAGACCCCAGAAGTGTGCCTTCTCTATAGTAATGTCTGCCTTCTGGAATGAGGTTCTCCCAAGATCTGAACAGCCCACCCCTTCTCCTTACTGGGGTTACAAAGAGGCCTGAAAGCCTGGCTCTTTACTCAGACCTTTGGTGAGGCTGATTGAAGACTCCTGTTCATCTAAATCGGGGGTGTCAAACTCGAGGCCTACGGGCTGGATCCGGCCTGCAGGGTGCTTAGATCTGGCCCACAGGGCTACCCTGGAAAGAGTGAGGGACTGGCCTGCGGTGCCTCTGCCAGGAAAAATGTTTTCACTGGCAGAGGGTTGCAGGAGGCCACTGCAGCCGAAAACGGACCTCAGGAGCCCATTTTCTCTGGCAGAACATTTGGGCCACCACAGGCACTCCTGACATGCCACTCCCACTCCGGCCCTCTGAGGTCAAACACAGCCCTGATGTGGCCCTCAATGAAATCGAGTTTGACACCCCTGACCTAGATTGTTCTCTTTTGTTTTCACCTGATTTGTTATTCTACCGGCTCTTATCTACTCTTTTTGGTTTCTTGTTGTTATTGTTGTGCTATTCATGCTTAAATGAAAATCTGTAAATCTCCCAGAGCTGCTGGGAGTCGAATAACATACAGATATAGCAACAACAACAATAATAATAGAAATGATGTTGATATCATAAACGTAAGCCATTTTTTCTTCTTCTTTATATTAAAATCTATAATTGTAACTTCAGGAGGGCTCTGAGGGGCCATGTCCAAGCTTTCAATAAAGTATATATGCATAGCTTAATGTATAATGTGTATAATAAGATATTACGATGGTTGATCACTCAGCCCATGGTTTAGAATGGATTTAGACTTTTTAATCACCTTCCCAAGGACTGAGATAAGCAGCTATGTGACAGCAATAACAACAATAATATCATAAATGGAAGCATTTTTCTTTGTTGTAATATTAAAAATTATAATTGAACGGTAACTTCAGAAGAACTCTGCAGTGCCACATGCAAGCAATCTTAGGGCTCCAAGTGACTCAAAAGGCAACCAACTCCCCTTAGGATTGGCCATGGCTAAGAATCAGACTGCTGTCCTCTATCCCAGCCAAACAACCAACTGGAGCAGAGATTCCAACAGCTACTCACTTTCCATCATCATCTCCCATGCCAAGTTCATATATCCGCTGAGCTCCGAGTTCCTCCAGCTTCTTATCTACAAATTTCCCCATGGCGTTAAAATGCTCGTAAGTTTTGTTCCCAAGTCCAAACACCTGGAAAGCAGCAAAAGATTGGTTCAGTTCAGAGGCAATCAGAAGAATCCAAGGACTATCTCCTTGGACATCAGGTACTTTTGAGTTTCACAAGGCTTTCCTCTCGTTTAGATGAAGATTCTATCCTAAATGTCTGTTAAACAATGCTGGACCCGAGGCTTTCTTACTCCTTCTAAATTGGACATGGAATACATTTTCGTGGATTCACAAATGTTTAGGATATCCATCTTTCAGGCGATATAAGATGTATTCATTTATCAAATTTATATGGCTACCCACCCATCTCATGAGAAATTACTTTGGGTGGCATAAAACAAATGTTTCAATGTTGGGTTTATTGCCACCGGAGCAGCACAACTCCTCTGGAATCTTCTTCACATACAGGTAGTCCTCGACTTACAACCACAATTGGGCCCAACCTTTCTGTTGCTAAGCAAAACACTTGTTAAGTGAGTCTTGCTCCGTTTTATGACCTTTCTTGCCACAGTTGTTAAGTGAATCACTACCATTGTTAAATTGTTAAAGAAAGGGGAGTCAGGGAATGTTGTAGGTCCCATCCCCCAGGGAGATACATCTGGTGGGAGCCAGAACAAGGGCCTTCTCTGTGGTGGCTCCCTCTCTCTGGAAAATCATTCTCCCAGAGATTAGAATGGCCCCCACTCTAATACTCTTTCGGAAGGCGCTGAACACCTGGTTCTGCCAGCGGGCCTGGGGAACCCAGAGTGGGATGGAGCCCATTAAATGGCTCATGTGATCTGCTGTTGCTGGGAGTGATTTTATCATTTTATATTAATTTATTTGATTTTTTAAAATAGTTTTATTGTTTTAAATGAGGTTTTATATTCTGTAAGCTGCCTTGAGTCGCCATGTGTGAATAGGCGGCAATATAAATTCAATAAATAAATAAACTAAAGAGATACATTACACCTGTTTCTTATTTAGCCTCTTCCCTTTTCTGTGGTATTACGGTGACACTGGGCTTACTTTTTTTAGCTTTCAAAGACTATTTAAAAAAACAAAAAACAAAAGAGAGCCCATGTTCTTAAAACTATTAATGGCCCTCCTGATACAGGTAGTTGCAACGGGAGTTCCTACAATGGGAACTTTCCCATTACAATTGTAAGTCATGACAATCATAAAGCAATTTTATAATCTTTTTTGTGGCGGTCAAAGTGTGCAGAGGTCTCCCCTCTAAAATGTTTCTGATGTAAGAGGCAGAAAGAGGAGGAGGAAAAGTGGAGAAAATGTACAATTATTTTAAGGGTGTGGATTTAAACTTGGCTACTATGGGCTGGAGATGGTTGAGTCAAAGACTCCAGCAAGACAAAGGAAAAGGATCTGGACGGAACAGGCTTTATCCAGCATTACAGGCAACTGGGATGAAAGGACAGAATCATTGGATAGAAATTAGATGACCTTTTGAATTAAAGATGGTAATGTAACTGGGGGAATCAAAATCCATGGGGGAAAGAAGAAAATGTGTATTAGAACTGAGGAAGAGAGCAAGAATAAAACTTGCTGTTAGATCCAAAGCAGAAAAGTCTGTCATATAGAGATGTAATGTATCATACTGTTAAAATAGCACAAAATGAATTTTGGAAGGGTAGCAATAAAAAGAAGAAACCGCAGTGGTCAAAGCAAAAAAAAAAAAAAAGCCAGTTGTAACCCAGAGGAAATAACATTATTTTCATGTCTCTCCTCTTATTAGAATGGGAAAGAGAAAATGACTGTAGCCACAGAAACGGAGCTGTGATTGATGTCATGCACCTCTGGATATTATCTGGCTTAGGACATCAACTGTAGAGGCTAGAAATATGTTATAGTTACTTGCTACATTTATTACTGACCATTAGATGGAAGCACTAGAAAAAGCAACTAATTTGGGAGAGCTGGATTTTCAAGCATAGAAGTGGATAAGAGTTTCTCAAAGGACTTGGAAAACACTATTTATGACTGGAGAGAAGAGAGAGAAATGCCCATTTTCATGGAAGCAGCCCTAGAAAAATAAAGTTAAGGAAGTAGCTAGGAAGGTAAAATAATGAGAGAGAGGCTTAAGAGCTCTTTGTTAGCTTTTCAGTTGCCAAGGAAAAATTGTCAACGTTGATTCCTTCCCTCATTGCCTCTCTTCTGGCAATACACCTCAGCACCAAGAGTTAATGATGCATTTGAATAGACTGAAAAGAGAGGAACAAGAGCTAAGAGTAGTAGTTTGATCCCTGGAGCTCAATCATCCACAAAATGCTCCAAAATTCAAGAACAATCCTGAGAGGAATTATATTTGTGGCTTCATTTGCTTCCCCAACTCTCAAGACGTGGATACAGGGGGCACAGGCGCCAACTTGGCCCGCACAGGAACTGTGCTCATCAGCTCTAGAATGTAACAGTCATGACTTTCTTCTCTCCTTGTCTGAACTGAGACTAACCTAAGGGATGCAGCTATGCTGACAGCCTGAAGAATATTGTTCCTTTCACCCGACCAATGGACAACTTGAACTGCCAATAAAGGAGAATATCTGTAGCACAGGATTGAAATGAGGAGTCTGTGGTGCTCTCTGAGCTTGGCTGTTTTCTTACAGACATTTCATTACCCAAGCTAGGTAACATTATCAGCACTAATACTACTTAGTTTGGGTAATGAAATGTCTGCAGGAAAACAACCGAGAGAGCACCGAGAACCCCTTGAGTTTAACTGCAACATAACTGAGTAAAACAAAAACAAAAATGGAGAGCTCCGCTTTCATTATACAGTTTTCAAAACAACTTTCATAGAACAAATAAGAAAACTGGCAGCAGAGCAGACTTTATAGTCCCAAAGCTCCATTTGAGATAAGATTAAAGGCCACAATGTGCATGCCGAGCAAGTTATGCTAGGGAGGATAGGTAGTGATCATTGAAGAAAGCTAGGGATCTAACGGATTGCTTGGGTGAAGGGAGTGCATAAGGGTTGCATTCGGATGGGTTTTGTATATTCAGAATTCATATCCACATTGCAATGAAATTATCTCAGCTTCTGGGCAGCATCTTTTAGTTTTCTCAAGCATCCTATACCCACTGTCTCCCATCACAAAAGTAGCCCTGAAGAGATAATCAAAGCTCACCGCGTATTTTATACCAGACAGTTTGGAATCTGTGTCTTGCAACCAGTCGTAGAAATCTTGGGCATTATCGGTGGGATCCCCTTCTCCATAGGTGGCCATGCAGAAGACTGCCAGAGACTTATCAATTTCCGCTAAATGACTCAGGTCCGACTGTATGAGAGAGAGTACAACAAATAAGGAACACATAAGCCGCGGTGGCGCAGTGGTTAAAGTGCAGTCCTGCAGGCTACTTCTGCTGATCATCGGCTGCCTGCAGATTGACAGATCGAATCTCACCAGGCTCAAGGTTGACTCAGCCTTCCATCCTTCCAAGGTGGGTAAAATGAGGATCCAAAATTGTTGGGGGCAATATGCTGACTCTGTAAACCGCTTAGAGAGGGCTGTAAAGCAGTATAAAGCGGTATATAAGTCTAAGTGCTATAGTGCTATAAACACCAGTTTTTCTTTCTATCCAGGGGAAATCGCTGTCCACCATGCTGACAATTTCACAAAAAGACTGGAGATACTATGAGATTCACTTAAGTTTTTCAGGTCCTGAGCAAGAGTAGCTTCACCCTTTCTTGTCATAGAAATCATCTAAATGTCATACAATTCCAGCCATTCTTTTGTTTGGGTTGTCATTATTACAGTCTTAATTCTGACGGTTTGTCAGAGGCTTTTGAGAGATAGTACAGTCTTTCTTGTCATTGCACAAAATAAATACAATGCAATTGGTTTTAGCCTTACTGGTGCAAAATTATAACGGAAATGAAAAAAGAAAGAAAAAGAAAAAACTAGTCATACGTTTCCGTGTGTGTGTGGAGTGATTGTAGTTATATTTAAAAGTCTGACAGCCCAAGGATAGAAACTATTTTTAAACGTATTTTTTTGGTTGGCTATACTTTGATGTCTTCTGCCCGATGGTAAAAGTGCAAAGAGACACTGACGAGGGTGTGAATCATCTCCGAGTATCTTCCTTACTTTGCTAAAGCAGCGAGACCTGGTGATGTCATGCAGATGACAAGACATATAGTGTACAAGGCATGCTTTACTAAAAGAGCAAGTGGTAATTACACAAAATTATAACCGAGTTCAGTTTTCCCCAACCTGAAGCTATTGGATGTGCTGATTGTAATTTTCTCTTCAGGTTGAGGATAACAGTAGAGCTCTTAGAGGCATGAAGTTATATACTCAATCCCTGCTACCTAAAGAAGAAAGAAAATTAAAACCTTTTATCGTTCTTTAGATCCTGGCAGCCCAGCGCAGCTACAATACTGCTTGCCTTCTCCTGGAGAAATTGGAGAGGCATCAGGAACAAAAAGCTAGTAGACTCTAGCTAGCAGAGAGCACTGGTGGCGCAGTGGTTAGAATGCCGTATTGCAGGCTAAATCTGCCGACTGCCAACAGTTCAGTCCTGACTGGCTCAGGGTTGACTCAGCCTTCCATCTTTCTAAGATGGGTAAAATGAGGACCCAGATTGTTGGGGGCAATATGCAGACTCTGTAAACCGCTTAGAGAGGGCTGTAAAACACTATGAAGTAGTATATATGTCTACGTGCTATTGCTCTTGCTCCTCTTATGCAATCCTCCTCCATTCGTTTGCCTAATGAGGAGGGAACTAAAATTTATATAGAATTCCTATTTTATCAAACCACACTGGCTGGAAATTCAGCAGGCTGAAGTCCTATCACATAGGGATAGCACCAGGTTAGGAAAGACTAAATTATTACTCATGTATGATAAGAGTTTTTTCATGGGCACTTCTTTGACAGCAATCTTCTGATATTTAGTAAATTGAAATCTCAGCAGATGTGATAGGACAACGTAACCTCAAATTCAGGTGATACCAGCAAGGATTGAAAGGGGTGGCAAGACTGCTGAGGACATACCAAGTCATATTCTTCTGGATCAGCAGACATGCCCCGCATCCCGTAACGTTGAGCATCTTTTGCAAGGCGGTTGGCAAATTCTTCGGCGGTGCCTGTTTGAGATCCATAGAATACCACGATGTTTCTTCCCTGGAAAGGAAATCAAAATGGGAGAACGACAATTTAGCAAAGACTTTGGAACTGCTCAAAGTCAATAAGGTTACTTATTGCCAGATCATAATTTCTACCTCCATCACTACAACCAGATCTGAACTCAAAACAGAAATTAATGTATTCTCCTAAAGTTTATCAGAGGGAAACATATTTAGTTTTTGCACAGCTTTCAGGCAAGCCAAAAAGTAGGCATCTCTTGAAGACATGACCTCGATTACAGGTGTTAATTTGCATCCATGTGCAACAACATCAGAATGCACGTGATATCACATGTTCTCTCTTGGGACAAAACTAGGTACTATTCGAGATGGGTGGGTTTTTATTTTTCCCTTTAAAATGTGTAAAGGAAATTGTAGCCCATTTGTTATTATGAAATTTCCTAAGTAAATGTTTTCAGTTCTAAAAGTTCAAGCAGACTTCTCTGGCACTGAACGTCAGGGAACACGTTGTTCAGGACAGTTGTATAGATGTTCCGTTTATACTTCTTCAAATGTAACATTCTGGTTAGGGGGCAAACAGCAAAGCACAGAGCAGGAAAGATACACACTTCCACACAACGGTTGGGATTTGGGAGTTTGGTCCATCTACAGCCACCTGAAACCCACGTTTGCCTATCAACCTCTCTGCATTGTAAGTATGCGGCAATACCTACATTCAGTTGCACACAACTCTAGATCAAGTTTAAACATGCAATGTTTTGTAAGGCTAATTAGTAACAGAACACATAGAGAATAAATTGAACAAGTCCAAGTGGCAGCTAACATTTTACATGTGGCTTTTCCAGGAAAATGCAAATGCGTATTCAACAAACCTTTGCAACTTTTTGGGGAATGCTAAAATTGTTAGCATTCCCCAAAAAGTTGCAAAATTGTTATGTTAACTGTTCCTTGTGCCTCCTTTGTTTTAAATTATAAATAAACTAATGGAAATGTATACTACTGACTTATCCAAAAACTTATTAATTCCACCTTGAGAAAGTGGCATCCAATAAACAAACTTATCTGTCCACTCCTAAATAAATCTATTCTGCATATGGAGGATGAAAATAATTGTAGATTATTTTCACCAACAGTGGCTCCGATGAGTGGAAGTTGATCAACTCAAAACCATTCTCTAGATTCACTGAAATCCAAACTTAGAGCAGTTTCTTACTGGATGACCAGCAAAGGGATAGGGATATCAGCTTGGAGTCTATGGAGATTCTCAGTCATCCATGATTCTCCCAAAGATCTTTTTTTTCAAGAGGCAACTGGACTTTCTGTTTTTTCTTTTAAGATGCTTCACTTCTTATCCAAGAAGCTTCTTCAGTTCCTCATTCCCCACCATCCAGTCAGAACTGAAAGCCCAGTTGCCTTTTGCAAAAGCACCTATGGGACTCCCAGCTTGGAGGTTCTCTTGGACCTTTTAACAGCTGCTTTGCTATACAGCAAATGGCATCCTAGATGGGCACTCTGGCTTGGATGGGGTGCATTGTTTAAGGGCAAGTCTTCTGCTGCTGGTATGGCCAAATTCAGAGCAAGTAAACAGAAGGGGGAGTTTAAAATGGCCAAAATCACCCTGGAAGTTGCACAAAAACTATCTGAGGAAATTGCAAGAGAAAAAATTGTTAATCTTATGCTAAAGGATCAAGCAAAGAGCCTAAGGTATATCACTTGTCCATAAAGTACCTCCAAGCATGCCTATGCTGTAAACCACCATGAGTTTATTTTGATTTGCCTAAACAGGTAGTCCTCGACTTACAACTATTCATTTAGTGACCATTCAAAGTTACAATGATACTGAAAAAAGGGACTGATGACCCTTTTCCACCCTTACAACCACAGCAGCATGCCCAATGCCATGTGATCACAATTCAGATGCTTGGCAACTAACTTATATTTATGACACTTGCAGTGTCCCGGTGTCACGTAATCTCCTTTTGCGACCTTCTGGCCAGCGAAGTCAATGGGAAAGCCAGATTCACTTAACCACGGTGTTACTAAATTAAACAACTGCAGTGACTGGCTTAAGAAGCGTGGCAAGAAAGGTCGTAAAATGGGGCAAATCTCACTTAACAAATTTCTCACTTGGCAATGTAAATATTGGACTCAATTGTCAAACTGACTATTATCCTAGTTGGACAGAGACAGCATTGTAATATTGTCTGGATTGTTGTACAGGATGCATGGGAACTCTTTCAAATAGCCCAGAAGTGTCAGTTTTAAAATAGTGAAACTGAAGTGTTGCTAATTGGGAGATGCTAAGACAATCCTGTTAAGCTAATGACTTGCCTTATGTCCTGGCTGCTACTTTATTTCTATGCCCAATATAAAATGTGAGTTTTCTACCGTGTTTCCCCCAAAATAAGACAGTCTTATTTTCTTTTGACACCCGAAATAAGCATTTGGCCTTATTTTTGGGGAGGTCTTATTATTTTTGAGGTGCAGGAGGCGGCAAGCGTGGTCACTTCATGGCTCCCGCTGTGTTGCAATATTTTCAGGGAGGGTTTATTTTCAGGGGAGGACTTATTTTAGCACATGCATTCAAAAGCTCAATTGGGCCTATTATCCAGGGAGGCCTTATTTTGGGGAAAACAGGGTAGCAAATGGGTTGGAACCCAATCCACCCAATCCTTATCCAAGATCCTTTTACAAGGCAGGCAAGAGAAAATGGTGGGGGGGGGAGGAATTTTTATGAGTAGTATCTCCTTTTTAAAATACCATTCCTATCTGTTACCAGGATCTTAAAAAAAAAACCAAGTAAATTCTTGGATATTGTTTTGCTACTGGTTTTATGCATTTATTTTATATGAGTTTTATTGTTGTTCTTGCTAACCAAGTTATCTCTTACAGGACATTATTTTAATTACAAAATTATCTACAAGAGAAAAGAATCAAAAATAAATATAGCAATCACATTATCATTATTATGACTTCTTGCAGCCAGCGTTTTTAAGACGGGATTTGGCATTTATTATTATTATGATGATTCATCTCAATGTCAGTCCGATGTTTAGGCTAGATTTGACATTTTAATGCACTTATCGCGCCATTGTCAAGGGCCTGGGATGATCAGATGTTCTTGTTTGATGGTATTTATCATTGCAGTATATAAGCTGTTCCAAATAGAGCTGACTTTTGCAATTGCCCAATGGTGATTTTGGCAATGCTGACTTGGTGTTCAAGCAGTGCTCTAGATCAGAGGTCTCCAACCTTGGCAACTTTAAGACCTGTGGACTTCAACTCCCAGAATTCCTCAGCCAGCAAAGCTGGTCCATAGGTCTTAAAGTTGCCAAGGTTGGAGACCCCTGATCTAGATTCCACTAAGGGCACCTATTACTACATGTAGTTCTCAGGTTATGACCACAATTGAGCCCAAACCTTTTGTTGCTAAGCGAAACATTTGTTAAGTGAGTTTGTCCCACATTTTACGACTTTTCCTGTCACATTCGTTAAGTGAACTGCTGCAGTTGTTAAGTTAGTAACACGGTTGTTAAGTGAATCCGGATTCCCCCTTGACTTTGCTTGTCAGGAGGTCGCAAAAGGGGAATCACGTGACCTCAGGACACCACAACCTTCATAAATGTGAGTCAGTTGCCAAGCATCTGGATTTTGATCATGTGACCATGGGGATGCTGCAACGGTCGTGTGAAAAATGAAAATAAGTCACATTTTTTCAGTCCCGTTGTCACTTTGAACGGTCACTAAATGAGCTGTTGTAAGTGGAGGACTGCCTGTACTGGTACTATCTTTGCTTTCTTTTCCCAAACTTGTTCCATTTGTATTTGCAGGTTTTTGTATTTTGTGATTTTCTTCCATTCTTTCTCTTCTATTCTGCTGTCTTCAGCTACTGCCACGTCCCCTATTCAGGCTAGTTGGACTTTCTTTTCGACAATTGTTCAGTCTGAGGTCTTATGTGGCAAGTGCCTTGAGTTCTAAAGTCTCAGAGCACTGTCCCTTATTAATAAAGTAATTATTATTAGCAGTACAGGTTGTCCTCGACTTATTACCACAGTTGAGCCCAAAATTTATGTTGCTACGCATGACAGTTAAGTGAATTTTGCCCCATTTTATGACCTTTGCAGCCACAGTTGTTAAGTGAATCGCTGCAGTTAAGTTAATAACATAGTTGTTAAGTGAATCCGGGTTCTCCATTGACTTTGTCAGAAGGTCTCAAAAGGGGATGACATGACCCCGGGGACATTTGCAACCGTCAGAAATATGAGTTAGTGAATTATTTTTAAAAAAACGTGTTGTTTTTTTTTAAAGGGAAAAAAAGAAATAGGAGTTAGTGGCCAAGCGTCCAAGTTTTGATCTTGTGACCATGGGAATGCTGCAACGGTCACAAGTGTGAAAAATGGTTATAAGTCACTTTTTCAGTGCCGTTGTAACTTCAAACGGTCACTAAGTGAACGGTTGTAAAACGAGGACTACTTGTAATATCACCACTGGATTTTTATGTCACCCAAGAAATTGTAATTTTGGGGCAATCCAAAACTTTGATGAACAAATAATTAATTTCTTAGGAATATTATACGCCAAATATATATTTTACCCAAACACGCCATCTCCCAGCATGACGTGAAGATATTCTTTAGCGAAGGCTTTCTCTAATATTTATCATTCCCAGCTACATGATTAAGAACAGTAGACACTGTACTCCAGCTACATATGGGAATTCAAGACTGAAAAATATTTCCCCTCCCCCCGCCCCCAAAAAATTATGTTCTGCTGCCAGCTGGCTCTCACATACAGAAGAGAGGCTGAAATAGCTGGAAAAGCTTGGGTAACAACAAGCCTGTTTCAGTAACTATTAACCATGAAAATAATGAAGTGAAACTTACCGTCTTTTTCATTTTTTCAATAAAACTGTTTTCATTTGCTGACTGCTCACTATAAAAGAGAGAAGGGAAGGATTGGTTTTGAAACATTCACAGTTGCAGCTATGTTACCAAACAATGGTTCAGCAGATTCTCCAATCTGCTACTTATCAACGTCCGTCAAGCTCTTATCATCAAGCGTCCGTCAAGCTCCTATCAAGAGCCGAGGTGGCGCAGTGGTTAGGGTGCAGTATTGCCACTTCAGCTGACTGTTATCTGCAGTTCAGCGGTTCTAATCTCACCGGCTCAAGG